CCATAACACCTATCCTACAAGAACTTGGACTCAATTATGTTGCCCAGGAAGTGGATCTGGCAGTACTCCTCGTAGCACTTTGCTTATGAATTCTCAGCCCAATTCTCGATTTAGCAAGACTAATGTCTGAATAATGACAATTGACAATCAAATCATCGGCTAGTTATGGAAGCCTTAGCAGCTTTAAGCATATTTGTTAATTGGCATGATTTAGTTTAGTGGTCAAACAAAGAGAGAAATTTTAAAACATATAAATTTAAACGATTCATGTTATATATACGTTACATTCGAGTATTGTATTATAACCTGAGTTCTTTTATTATTTGAACAGAAACCTGAGATCAAATGATATTACAATAAACAAAATTAGTGTGTTAAAATATCATATTTCTAGCAATAGCAAGTTTTGGAAATTCTATAAGGTGTAGTCCATCGTGTTCAAGGAAATGCACTTGATCCGAGAATAGGATAACCCATATAGGTGTGGGATAGTCCAAATCTCAAACTTGATTCTATCCAGCCAAACAAACTCTTCTTGCTGCTGGAGTTGCCCAACATTCGAAACAACGTTGTACGTACGCTCCTCTTCCTAGAATTGTACTTCATCAACTTTGCTAGGGTTACCAGTTTAACGACGCACAAAACCAAAGGCAGAGCAGAGGAGAGAAGCCATTGTTGCAGACAGAAACGAATTGAATCTAAGCTCTCAAATCCTGTAAGTCAGACTGTGCCTATACGGCCTACAGTTTCAACTACAGGCCATGTCTATCTGTTCTCAACTTCAACTGTCAAACCAGCCTCAAAAGGATCGAGTTCAACAGATTCGCACTCTCTTACAATCTCTTACCTCATAAACTCATGTGGGTTGTCCTTAGAATCAGCTACAGCAGCTTCCAGGAAGCTAAAATTTGAAACCACTGACCAGCCAGACTCGGTCTTGAACCTCTTGAAAACGCATGGCTTAACCCAAACCCACATAAAAGCATTGGTCACCAATCGTCCAATGATGCTCTTGGCTCATCCTCACAAAACCCTTAAACCCAATTGTGAGCTGTTCAAAACTCTGGGAATTTCTGGTGCTAACCTTGTGAAAATACTCAACAAAGAGCCAAGAATACTTGAAAGCGATGTGCATACTGTGGTTGAGTTCTTTAGAGCTAATGGATTCAGTGAAAAGCAAGCGCCCAAATTTATATTTGTACAGTGCACACCGAAATTTTACACCCAAGTTGGACTTTTTTAAATCAATGGGCTTTTCAGGGGCAGAAATTGCTCAAATGTTGGCCTCAGACTCAGAGCCTTGTATTTTGGGAAAGAGCCTTGAAAATCATATCATACCCTCTGTTCTTGTGATTAGGGGTATTGTTGGCACGGATGAGAATGTCGTGAAAGCAATGAAGGCGTACTACTGCAGACTTGTAAACCTCCGCACCATTATCTTTATATAGTGAATATTTATTTTTGAAATGTTAATATAGGTGATAAAATATGTATAAATTCTATATATTTCAATAATATGAATAAATACTAAAGAGGTAAATTAATAGTGAAATTTAATTTTTGAAAATTTTTAAGGTTGATAAGGGTAATTAAGTAAAAATATAAATTATTTTTAGCTCAAAATAATATTATCTTTGAACTTGAGAGATCCGAAAAATATGGAATAGCTTTTTAGCACATGTAACGGTTCGGAGGAATAAAATAGTAATTTTTGTGTTTCAAGCATAAATTTATTTTAGTTTTGAAATAACTCATAAAAATAAATATTTTTAGGTTAAAATAACATTAAAAATGAATCCGGAACGTCGAAAAACCTTAGGATAGTCATATGAATCAAATTAGAGATTTTTAGTGGCAAAATCGTAATTTTTGAAAAAATCAAATCAACCTGAACAGTAAAAATCGGGGTTGCTGTGTTTAAAAATCCATTTTCATCTCATTTACTCTCATTTTTTTCACTCCACTCTCACCCCACACCTCTTTGAACTTTAGAGGAAGATTAAGGAAGGAAGAAAAGGGAAGAAGGAGGTCACTAGAGTTTGAGTTCTTACTTGAAATTTTGATTCAAGTAGGAGTTTTCTTCAATTCTCTAACATTGAGGCTAGGATAATAGATATATATTTTCTTGACTCTACATCATATTAATATGCTATGAAATCATGGATTCTTGATATTTTTACAAACGTTAGCATTTTTAAACAATGGGATGGTTGGGTAACCATCAAAGTTCTTTTCTAATATTCAAAACCCTAAATTTCAAGAAAAGTGGATTTTTCTCTTGATTTCTCATTTATTCTTGATTTCAAAACTTTAGTGTTTCGTATTGAACAACACTTCTTAAATTGTTCCATTGTGAAATAAATGTGGATTTGGATGTGAAAAATTGAGGATTTATGGAATTGAGTGTATTTGAGAAATTGTTGGTGATTGTATTTCATGGAGGTGTTTGGATGACCATGGGTGGCTATTGACGGGGTATCGTAGAGTGGGTAGATGTGTGTGGTTTTTACTCCGTGTGAGTTTGAACTTTTTCTACTACTCGTAGTGAGGTTGGTGTCTTGCGAGGACCAAACCACTATTACCTCACGGGTGCCATGTCAGAGGATCAGTATACTCTGCCTGGATCGGATTCGTTATTGCCGGTGCATTGGTATGAGACAATGCATCAGTAGACACCTTTCCCGAAGTTGATATCCTTGCGAAGAATTGTGTGTGTGTGGGTCAATATATTCTTTATGTGTTTATTCATGCGATTATCTTACATCAAACTTGAGATATATTGTGGTTATTGTTTATTATGTTATCTTTTGGATATAATTATCATGGAAATTGTTGTGGGAATAATTACTCTTTGAAATGATTATTTATCTTGAGATTGACTTTACTCTTGTATTTAAGTATTGTTAATGTATAAATTTGAGATCTTTTAAAAATATCATGTTTTCTTTCAAAATTTATGTATGCGATTTGTGAAATGAGACCGACCGTTTTTTTTTTATGTTTTTCAAATCTTGTTAGAGTTTGAAAAGATTTTCCTACAGAACTTAGTGCTCACCCCCTACTAATAATTATTTTCTTTCAGATTTCGTGTTAGAGGAAAATCCCGGAGTTGACGAGTCGGGAAATTGGGAAGTTCCACCAGAGGGAAACCTAGATATTGGGTGGACATCTAGAACTATAGTTTATTTTTGTACTAAACTAAGGAATTTATTTACGATTATGTACAGTCTAGTATTTTGTTTATTACGCTGCTAAGTTTGAATATAATTCTTTTAGAATATAATTGTCATAGGTTGACCTATTTTTTTGGGATGATATTGTAGATATTACATAAGGTGAATGAAATTTTATTATTTGATAGGTAAATGGATCCGGTGTAGTCAATATTTATTCATATATGGACCCGGTGTGATCAATGTAATATAATTGCACACGTTATATTTTGGATAGAGCTTCCCGTAGAAAAGAGACTCTCCCCGAATTTTATTAAATTAAGAATTCCCGATTTTGGGGCGTTAGAATACTTGAATGCAATTTGGAGGAGGTACTTGAGCCGAACATTGCAATCTTGATTAATGCTGGTGTACCCCTGTCAAAAGTTGTGAAGTTGATCATGATTCAACCAAGGTCGTTGCTTGTGAGACCTAATCGATTTAGCGAAGTTGTCAGTGAGGTTAAGGGATTAGGTTTTGATCCCACCAATCTGTCATTTGTTTTAGCTGTCCGTTCTATGGGAGTCATGAGCAAATCGTTGTGAGAACATAAATTGGGAGTCTATTGTAGCTGTGGTTTGTCAGAGGATGAAATTATTTCAGCTTTCAAGATGCAGCCCTTATGTATGCTCAATTCAGAAAAGAAAATCAGGAAAATTATGGATTTCTTTGTCAAGAATTATGCTTTCCAAGAATCCGAAACTTCTGTCATTAAGCTTGGAGAAGAGAATTATTCCAAGGTGTTCAGTTTTGCAGCTTTTGATGTCGAAGGATCTGATTAAGCGTGATATAAGCTTGGCTTATGCATTGCAAATGACTGAAAAGATGTTTTTGAGGAAGTTTGTGAGCAAGTATCAGCACATGATTCCAGAAGTTGTTGGGCACATCAAGGCAAGATAAAGTTTCTGGGTTCTCCTATTGCTCTAAAAATGTGAATAATCGTAATGTCATAGAATGTCCAGAACATTGATTTGGTGTCTCAACTTAGATTTGGTTTATGGTTGCACAAGATTTTGGGATAGGTTGTGCGAGCATCCCATGTCCTCGTAGCTGAGATAGTTTTTATTTTTTAAACTTAGCTGAGGTATGGTTAAATTAAGCTGCTATTGTTTCCCAAACTTGCTGTGAAATATCTCCAGTTCCTATATCCTTGAAATATGGCTGTATTGTGGTCCTTTCCCTTTTGTAGCTACACTTTTTTCACTATACACAGCATTTCAAACTTTTAGCTCTTATCTGAAGAGCTTTCCCATTGAATTCATGCTTTAATAGGATAGCCATGCCCAGTTCAAATGTCTCCTTACTACATCTCATTTGGAAAGACTTTCCCGTGTCCCAGAGCATTGGCAAACTGTCAATTGATTTTCTCTGAAGTCATTCATAAATTTAGTTTTAATCTCTGAAGGAATTAAAATACAATCATATGCAACTATTTACTCTTGATTATCTCTGATTCATTACAGATGGTTGTTTTAGCATTCGTGAAGATTGATATTGATGCTTTTCCAATGTCATGTTGACAAGAACTTTCTATTCAACATTTGCACTCCTATAGATATGATTCATACTTCAATCTAGATGTTCCTGTAGCAGATGCTTCAAATCTCCAATGGTAAGCAGAATTGACCAGTTTGGTTTTAAATGGCTGAATGTATAACAGTGTGACAGTCCCCTTTAATGGTGATAATTAATTCCAACCCTTCTTTTATAGGAACATAATTCCGACCCATCAAATCATAACTCAAGAAATATAGAGTAGCAGTTTATTAAGTTCATGGGTAAATCTAATTAAATCAATGGTCTCATCTCTTGCTCTCTGTCTTTCTCCATGAGGAAGAAGTCTGGCAATGCAAAGACAAAGCAAATAGACATAACCAAAAGCCTCTCACAAAAAGCCCTCTACAGAGAAAACCAAGATAGATAAACTCACAAAGGCACTAGTGTGGCAGTAACTTAACCCATCTAACCTAGCAATAATTATCAATGGTTAAAAGTGCCTTGTCTACAATGGAAACAAACCCAACAAATTATAGCTAACCGATGATTCAAAAATAATACTAAACCAACAACAGTTCGACTCCTGGAGGTAGTCTTGTTTCCAGCTCCTTGGCACGCTCTCTAGCCGCTTCCATTCCCTCTGTCACAATAAATTCAGATCTCTCCACAGAATGTGGATTTCGAGGGTTGATAATTATTTTTTCAAGCGTCACAGCATTCCCAATGAAGTACATTGGAAGCTCAAAATCTGCTGGATGCCCACAAAATCCAACAAATTCGACCATCTTGAGGTGTGGAAATGGACATTTTTCAGACTTGCCCATTTTTTCTAATCATCAACCATTTCATAGGTGCAACAAAACTCACAAAATGTTTGAGCCCAATGTCTCGACTTTGATAAGCCTGGGTGTACCCATGTCCAATATTGTGAAATCGATTATTTATTGACCAAGATGGCTGATTCAAAAACCTCGACATTTTAGATTGTTACTTCAGGAATTTGCTAGTTTTGGATTTGATCCCACAAAGATGAAATTTGTTCTAGCTCTCTGAACCTTGGCATCCTTGAGTAGATTAAAATTTGAAGCAAAAATCAAAGTTTTTAGTAGTTTTGGTTTGTCTAGAGATGAATTCCTCTTGGCTTTTAAATTGCAACCCGTGTTTGTGCTCGCTTCAGAAAAAAAGTTGAGAGGAATCATGGGTTTCTTTGTTCAAAAGCTGAATTTTCAGCCTACAAGGATTTCCAGGCGTCCAAATATTTTGCTGCTCAGTTTGGAGAAAAGGATTATTCCAAGGTGTTCAGTATGGCTACTATTGATGTCTGGAGATCTGATTAAGGGGGATGTGAACTTAACTACTGCGATAGCAATGAAGGAGAAGAATTTCTTGGAGAATTTTGTGATCAAGTATCAGCATATGGTACCTGAAGTTGTGAATGCATACCGTGGTGAGAAGGAATTTCTAGGGTTTTAGCATAGATTAGTGGGGGGAAGTTGTTTCATGGAATGCCCAGTTCTCTATGAGGCTGATGCCCTATGCTAAATTATCCTTACCTTTAAGTGGACTTTAAGCTACTAAAACCGAAGTGGGGTGTTGTAAGGTCAGCTTCTCTCTGATTTAGATATACGGATGCCACAAGGGGGTGGTCATGAGGATGTTACAGTTAATGTAGATTAGTCTGAGTCTAACATGATCCAACCACTGCTCTCTTGTAGGGAACTTTGTGACCTTCTTGCAGTTTTAAGGGCAATGACATGAGCAAATTTAAACCACAGTTAAGAGAATTTCCTTGGCATTTGTTGAGCCCTTTGGATTGCTGACCTCAATTTACTGACCTGGGGTCTGCTTATAAATTTTTTCCTGTAGTTAAGGCCTTTAGTAAGTTCTTTAGACTTGTGATTTGATTTCTATTAAATAAATGCACTTTGATCATCCTCACTGATCTTTAAAAATGGTTACTTAGACGGCGCTGTCTGCAATTCATTCTTGGTTCGTTGTGTTTAAATTGCTTTCTCACTATCTGTTGCATCTGTGTTAACTTTAAGAGATGATTATTTCATTGAATGGCTGTTAGTTATGTATTCGTAGTTTATATTCATGGATGTATACCAAAACATGGCAGATTGGCAATACAATTTTTTCTGTTCATGTTTAATAATGGAACATATCCACACAAAATAATGGAGCATATCCAACATGTTTAGTTCTCTGGTTAATGGTTATGCAGTGATCTTAATTGTGGAGTCTAAATATAGGAAATGTAAGTATTGCAATAGATTGGTCAAACTCCATTTTCTGAAAACTTGATCCTTGCCATTTAGTCTAATTTAACAATCTGTAAGGTTGACCAATTGATGATGTCTGGGGGATCTTCATGTTTGGTGTTGGTGATCCTGGGTCTTGATTTTACCAAAAACTGCACTGTAGACTTCTGGGAAATGATCCTGGGAAATGATGGCTGTTCTGTTTTCCTTATTAATGAGATGAACTGATTGCCTCCATGAATTCCCCAGAATCCGAATCTTCTGCTACTTAGATTGGAGAAGAGGATTGCTCCAAGGTGTTCACTGTTCAGATTTGCAACTTGCGATGTTGAAGGAGCTGATCAGGGAAAATGTAAGCTTACTTATGCATTTAGATGACTGAAAAATGATGTTTGTGGGGAGGTATTTGAGCATCAGTATGCAAGTCCTGAAGTTCTTGGGTTGCATCAGGGCATGATACAGTTTCAGGGGGTTTGTTATTGCTTTAAGAATGTGAATATTCAATGTGAGTTGAATTTCCAGCCCAGTGATTCGAGATTTTGGGGTTGATTGTCAGTTTTCTTTAGGCCCAGCCCAGGGGGTTGTGTAATTCTTTTTGTTAGGGGTATTGTAACTGTAATGTTATAATTGGCTGGGCTAAGGATCTTATAACGGCCCATCTTGTTGGGCCCCTGGCCTAAAAAGATCAGCCCAGGCTCTATCTGGCTGGCTGGCGGTTTGTAGCTTTATTGCTCTATGGGAAGTTGGTAGCAACGATGGGAAAATGCGTCAGCCTTATTATAATATGTTATATGTTGCAACTAAAAAGTATATTTTGGTGTATCGTTTCGGTTACTTAGGAAAATGAAAATGTTTCTGAAATGTTTTGGAAACACTTTGAAAACAGAGAAAAAAATTGGGAGTTCGATTGTAGAAACATTCCGATACATTGGTTGAAACTCTTCGAAACTAAGACTTTCGATATTCAATGACTGATTTATTTTGTTTTTCTTGGAAACAGAAATACTTTGGCCATTTGGAATACAACATGGTATGTGGAAAGCAACTATAATTTAACCAAGCAGTAGTTCTACTGAGTCTGTGCCCGTTGTCTCCAACCTCTTCCACCTGTTTATCACTTGTTTAGTTTTTCTAAATCAAGATTATGACCATGATTTGAGTTCGGTTCGAGTTTTAAACTAGTCGAATTTAAATAATGTTTTAGGCTGGTTTAAAAAACGAGCTTAAAAAATTCAGTTTGAACTCGCAAAATTTGACTATTTTATATATAAAATAGTTAAGCTATTCGAGTTCAGCTCGGTCTTGATTTATTTTCTAAATGAGTCAAATTTAAATAATTTTTTAAACTCGTTAAAAAACATTAGCTGGACAGGCTCGGCTCGATTTCTATACTAGTTGCTGTTGGTGGCAAGCTCAATTCTATGGCATGATCATTGGATTGACAGGGTTATGCAAGGGATTCTTCAATGATTATCATAGTTATGATTCCCCCGTAGAGAGTGAATTATTTGGTAAAGTCATGGCTATAACATGGTGGGTCTATCTTTTGTCAGGAAAGTGACCAATTGAATGTGATAGTCCATTCTGTCGTGACCACTTGGACTTAACTGGATAAAAATCTATAAAGCCCACCCTCAGTTTTCATTTATATCATCTTAAATGCTTCTCATATTGGTACTAAAGTCAAACTGCCCTGCCCTAAAATTATGGTTATACTTTATATCTAGTAATGATTGTGGGGTCATCAATAGTATCAGATAGCCATCAATACAATGGCCTACCATTGGATGCCCATTTTTTCATCATATTCTTTACTTTCAAAGCTAAAGCTACACTGAAAAAATGTGAGATTCACATCAAATCGATGGTTATATATATATATATATATATATATATTTTTTTTTTTTTTTTTCTTTTTGTGTGGATAATCCAGTTGTATCAATGGATCACATTAGTATGTTATCCTACTCACTCATTGGTTGGACTCATGTTGAACCTTTTGCAAAATTACCTCTCTACTCAAGAAAGTAAATTTATAAGTGGTGACTCCAAAAGAATACACATATCGTGGGATATTTGAACCCCTGATTTACACCTGCGAAGACACTTAGTTTATGTTATTCAAAAAATGTATAATCCCACATCATATTGATGGTGACTTAGAGTATCTTTAATAACAAAAATTAGTTTATGCTATTCAAAAAATAATATTTTTTATTTTAACTACTCATTTTTTTAATACACATTCTAACAAATTTTTTATATTTTTAACCATTTTTTTTGTATTATTTTTTTTTGGAGTAGTTTTTTTTTTTTGGGTGGGGGGGGGGGGGAAGAGCGAATGGAGAGAAAAAAATGAGATAAAATATTATAAGTATCTATACATGTTGCTATAATGATATTCTAAATATATGGTGTCATTGTAATAAAATATTATTTTATATGTTATGTTGGATAGAAATTTTAATATAAAATAGCTTAATTTTAAAATTTTTGTGTACTTGAACTCCTCTCTTGAAAATGCTATTACATGCCATCGTCTTTTGTTTGTTGGAAAGATCCTTTGATCCTTGTATTTATGGCCAATATCATTGGCCTAAGATTTAGTTGAATTTCGTTCAATACATTGTCATTTTATTTTGTCTAATGTTAGATCACTCACTGTTTATTAGTGGAGGATCCACTTTGTGCGGTGAGTTCCACTTAGATTGATTATAATGCAACTTATATTTACGATACATGATTTACCATTACGAAAAATTGAAAGAAAATATGTTGGACGAGATTTGGATTTGATCTACACTTAACGAAGATATAAAGCTAGTTAGGAAAGACAATCTTGCAGAGATATGAGTAGGCCTGACAATTCTAGACACGACTCGTGAAATCGATACGAACCTAACACGGATTTAGCGAGTTTTGGTGTAATCATAACGAATTTGGGTAATTAACGGGTTCATTCAGTAGGCCCGTGAAATAAACGAATCGGTTTCGTGTTTAACCCGTAAACTCGTTTCAAACCGTTAACAGTGGTACTATAATTTTTTTTTAAAAAAGTTAGCTCTCTCAACCTCTGCCTCATCTCTCAAACTCATTCAAAATTAGTAGTAATTTAATGTTTATGTTCTGTCTTTATTTTTTTTGCTCAGCTATAATTCATTGTTATAATAAACATGTCAAACATGTGTAGTGTGTGTGTGGTGAGTTGATGATTTTTCATGTGGATTCGAAATACTCTAACTTATTATTTTATCTAGCGGGTGACACACATATTATATTAGATAACCGTCTAATAAATGATTCGTGTATAGATGTGATAGTTAAACTCATTTATATAAGCGAATAGGGTATGAATTAAAAATTTTTTGACACAAACTTGTTTCACTCGATACAATTGTCAGCTTAGAATGAGGTTCCAATGTCTTATTCATGTCAATTACTAAAAAGGTACTGATATGTAAATGAGTAGCGTCGAGTCGAGTTAAGGGTTAATTATTCAAGTTTGGTTTGACATGTAAATGAAGTTTAGATTAAGGTCAAATTCAAAACTAAATTTGTGATGTTCAAAAAACAAATTAATATTGTCGAGCTATTTTGGGAAATTCGAATTTCTCTAGACGCTAATTAGTTTGATAATTCGAGTCAAATTCAAACACGTACAAGTTTAATGTGTGCTTAAGTTTGACTTATTTATTCAAAACTCGATCTGGAGTGACCAAGTAACTTAAATCGTTTTAATGCCATAGCTTCCGACAGTCATAGGACAGCTAATTAGCTTGCTAACAAAGGAATAAAATTATTAATTTCACTATGGTCACTTTTTTTGGTCATTAAAAAGGAGATGGACAATCAACAGGTAGTAATCCTCTGGACGTAGCCATGAGGGTCCTCTTATTACAGAATGTCCCGTTTCAACCATAACTATTAATCCATAAGAATAGCCTGTCACTACAGTACTATCAAAGTCAAATAATAAACCGCATTATTCCCGTAAATTAAACCATGTTTGATAATTATATTAAAATTAATAACAATCTTAAACGTTTATGTCTTACCGCTAGACCACTTGTTCAGGTGGTAATGCGGTCACCTTTGTATTGTGGATATGAGGTATATGTGGTCGCACCGACACTGTAGAGGACCAAAACAAAGTGTGTTGGCTCATAAAAAGGTGTCCAATCAAATAGAGATTCCAACAACTAGCAAAAGTGCCATAACAGATTTGTATGGGCAATCTGGGATTAGTCAATTTCATATTCGAGACAGCCTGTCTAGGCATGGTAAGTAGCAATCAAAAGCCCCATGATGCATTTAATTACCATTTTGCCCTTCAATTTCTTGATATGTTATGTTATTTTACATTCTGATTCCGTTTTCACCACCACGATATGTACTCTAAATCTAATCCATGGCCATTATTTCTCGAACGCACATTCAAAAGAACTTATTTTATTTTATTATTATTATTTATGAATATTTTTGTACTATACACACTTCTCCACCATTATAGTTTTTCAAAAATGTAAACGACGTTTTACCTATATTCATTAATTCTCTAAATAACTTCTAGACACGTCATTGACGATAACAATTTATCAAACTTTTGTACTCTTGTTAATGTTATTGTTTTCACCACCTTTTATATATGCGGTAAAGTGAACTTTCATTTGAAATTGAAAAAAAGGCATTCTTTGTGTTGCATGTATGATGTGTGGAGAGGTAAAAAGGATTCAAACATCAAATCATAACTCAAGAAAAATATGGTCTAAGCCTTTATGAAGTTACTTTTAAGGTGTAACAAAGTTTGGACAAATTGGAGTTATTATGGCAAAACAAAATCATTGGAAATTACAAAAGCAACCGAAAAGTTGACAGCCAAAGTTTGGCCTTGTGGACAAATCATGGCAATATCTTAACTTTGAATTTAATTTCTCAAACTATAATAGGCAAATCTAGGTAAAATCAATTTGTCAAGGTAGTTCAATGATGAGATTACTATATCATTTGGCTTTCTAAAGATTGTATGATTTTAAAATGAGAAATGTTATGTTATGTTATCTAAATCAAAACTCACACATTTCACTTTGTGGGTCTCAAAAAACCATTTTTTTTTACTCGAAAAATGTTATGCTGTCCAAGTCTTAGTTCAAATTTTGTATCTCAAGACTTGGACAGCATAGTATTTTTCGAATGAAAAAATTATTTTTTAGGACTCACAAAGTGATATGTGTGGTGCACGTACATTTGAGATACAAGATTTGAATTTTAATTTGAGCAGTATGGTAGTCCTCCTACTTGAGTCAAGACACTTTAACGGTACTAATATGCGTGTTTTGAAAAATAACTATTTGCATCCCAAATTTATGTAATAGTCATGCATGAATTTAAAAAGTAGACTTTATAATTATAATTATTAAATAAACAGTAGGTCTCAATAAATATTGAGATTCACAGTAAAATTAATTATTATAATTATTAAGTCTATTTTTTAAGTTGATATAATATTACCCTGTAAAATATTATCGGGACATTTCAATGTCATCAAAAAAACAATAAGGGTAAAACCCTATTGTCAACCAATAAGCTCCAAATCCGTGTGATTATTTTTTGTTAGTGCCCGTCAGCCATCCTAATTGCTATTATCGTATCCCACTGCTCAGTGCTCACTGCCCTTGCTATTATGAGAGAGAATCAACAACTCAACCACCAACCGTCCTGAGATGGAAGACCACTCGGTCCACTCCATTAATGTAACATATCTCGTTATTTTCAAGAAAAAACACCACGTGATGTGGAAGAACTAAATGCATATTGTAACTTCAGGTATCCCAATTGCTCAGTTACTATAAGATTTCATATTGAAGAGCAAGGTGAAATCTTGTTGGGTTTCAAAAAAGATTTAAGTCATGGAGAAGATGATTGTTTGTTAACCAATATTTTTCCTTCATGGGTCTTGTCAAAATTCCTTGAAAAATAGCACCCATTCATTTTTTCCACCCAAAGTCTACCTCAGTTCAATAGTGATCTTCATCTCTCTCTGTTTTATGGATGGTGTCTGTTAAAGTTTTTACAAAGATGTGATATCGTGAACCTTCAATCTTAGTCTCAGGTGTGTTTTTAGTTGATTTTTCGTATAATTTTATTGGGTTTTCTCTTGAAAACTTTGCAATCCCTCGGCTTCATTTCATTGAAAGGTTTGTGTGCATCTTAAATTTTTTTACATTCATGGGGTGGTCTAGCTTGTTTCTGTTACTGTGTTTTTATTGGAGTTTCTTCATTCTGGTTACGCATCAATTACAATCCTCACAAACCCAAGTGCTTCTTCAGTTAAAAAAACGGTTGGAGTATCCAAAGCAATTAGATTTTTGGTATAATAGCAGCTCAGATTTCTGCTATTTGTCATCCTCTCAAGTGAACGTCACATGTCTGAACAATTTTGTCACTGAGATCAGAATAGTGGGTGATAAGCCAAATAAGGTAAGCAATTTTGATGGATTTGCAATTCCAAGTAGAACTCTATCAGAGAATTTCTCCATGGATTCTTTTATAGCCACCTTGGCAAGGCTCACCAGCTTGAAGTCTCTAACTCTGGTGTCTTTGGGCATTTGGGGTCCACTTCCTGACAAAATGCATCGATTGTATTCCCTTGAAAACTTGGATTTGAGTGGGAATTTTCTATTTGGTTCCATTTCTCCTACAATTTCCAGAATGGTGAAGATTCAAACTCTTAAATTAGATGGGAATTTCTTCAATGGTACAGTTCCTGATTGGTTTGATTCATTATCAAACTTAACCAATGTAAGCTTGAGGGATAACAGGCTGACCGGTTCATTTCCGTCTTCAGTACTGAGAATTACCGTTCTGACTGAACTTGGTTTGTCGAAAAATGGAGTATCAGGCAAATTACCAGATCTAAGTAGCTTAACTAGCCTGCATGTGCTGGATTTGAGTGAAAACAAATTCGATTCTGAACTTCCCAGTATGCCCAAAGGTTTGGCCATAGCTTTTCTTAGAAACAATTCCTTCTCTGGTGAGATTCCACACCAATATAGCCGTCTTCTTGTTCTTCAGCAACTTGATCTGTCGATCAATTCTCTTCGAGGAACGCCTCCCGCTGCACTTTTTTCTTTGCCCAACATTACTTACTTAAATTTGGCATCAAATAGGTTAAGTGGATCACTATCATTTCATTTGAGTTGCAGCAGTAAGCTCGGGTTAGTCGATATATCAAATAATAGATTCAGAGGTTGGTTGCCTTCTTGCTTGGGCACTGCATTACATGAGACGATTGTTAGGTATGGTGGGAATTGTTTGTCAATTGATCCGAGGCATCAGCATCCAGATTCATACTGTGCAGAAATTCCCACGAAGAGGAAAGAATCGAGAGGGAAGAATGTAGGACTATTGGTGGGTGTCATTGGGGGAATTTTTGTTGTTATGGTGCTTTTGGCTTGTGCCTTTCTTGTCTTGTGTCGAAGATATTGCCCTCGAGGAACATCAGAGCAACATTTGTTACATAAGTCCGTGGAAGACAACTCAGTCACAGGGTTCCCTTCACAGCTCCTGACTAATGCAAGTAGGTCGTCCAATCTGAGTTCTCCTGATCTGTCTTTGCTCCCATGAACTGTCCCACATTTTCAAAAACTTACTGTCTCATTTGTTTACAAACTTCAAAGGGTCAATGTAATTCATAGGATTTGATGAACAATCATATTGTCTATTGTTTTTCTTCAGGGTTTATTTCTGACGTGGGAAAATTAGGTTCGCAAGGTATTCCAGTGCATCGATTGTTCTCTTTTGATGAGCTTAAGGAAGCCACAAACAACTTCGATAAGTCTACCTTGATGGGTGAAGGATCAAGTGGGAAGGTACCATCTAGAATATATAATGTCATATGGCTTAATAAATGTCTGGCAATTTCACATTTTGGGGATTCTATTGAGTTTGCCCTTTGATCTGTTATATACTGAGAGAATATATTGCTTAGTGAGTACAGGTGTAACTATGAGCAATTGGCATTCACAATCCTTATGCTGTGTGCATATGCAATCCATAGGCCACTTGTATGTCCCAGGTTACATATGCTATGTGCAGTGACATTTAACCTCGTCGTGATTAATTGCTTTTAAATTCCATATTTGGAGCTAGAAATGCCATTTTAGATGAGCCTCACATTTAAGAACAACATTGTGGCAGTGGTTCGACTCGAGAATTTAAGCTTTAAATGTTTATGTTGGATTTAACTCTTTCACCTTTTTTGTTCTTTTAATTGTCTTTTTTTCCAGCTTTACAAAGGAAGACTAGAGAATGGAACCTTAGTAGCTATAAGGTGCCTCACTGTGTCGAGGAGATACACAATCCGAAATCTCAAACTAAGGTTGGATTTGCTTGCGAAGCTTCGACACCCTCATTTGGTTTGCCTTTTGGGGCACTGCATTGATGGTGAAGGATGCAATGACTCTGGTGCAAATAAAGTTTATCTTATATATGAATATGTGCCCAATGGGAATTATTGCACTCATCTCTCTGGTAAGATATGACCTATTCCATCCACTGGCTGTTAAGAAGAAACTACCTGTTGGACTCTTTTCTAATTATAATCCAGCTGAATTTCATGCAGAGACTAGTCCAGAAAAGGTTCTAAAATGGTCAGACAGATTGATGGTTCTAATTGGTACTGCCAAGGCTGTGCACTTTCTACATACTGGAATCATTCCTGGATTTTTCAACAATCGATTGAAAGCAAATAATATATTGCTCAATGAGCATCGGATGGCAAAGCTAAGTGATTATGGGTTATCCATTGTAGCAGAAGATGGCGAAAGGCAAGAGGTATATATTCCCAACATGAAGTAGTTTTAGCAACCCTTACAATTTTTACACCCCTAAATTTTTTGTCTTATTGCTTTGTAGGGAAAAGGAGAAGGCCTCAAATCATGGTAAGGGCATCCTTTGATAACAAATATTACTACTTCACTGTTCATTCTGGCTCCTACTGCCTTTCTACGTATCATTTACAAAAATTAGTTAGTAAAACTGATTAATTAATTTGAATGAAACTTTACTTATGAGTTCTTATCAATTATTAAAGAAAGAAAATGAAAAGGATTCCAGTTTCTAAATAAAACAAGCAAGTGGTCTGTGTGTAATGTGTGACTCGCCCAGCCCAAGGCAAGATCTTATTATGGACGGTATCTCGTTATACAAACCACTGTGTGTATAAGGTTTCTCATACAAAGTATGTATGGACTTCAGAGACTTACTAGGAGAAAGAGTAGACTAGTCTAATCCATTGACATAGGCCTGCAAACTACAGAAAGGTCGCGCCAATGGACTTACCAAGTTTGTATTTGTCTTCAAGCTGAGTGCGTTACTTATTACTTGCTGACATTTAGCTTGGGTTACCATGATTCAGGCAAATGAAGATTGTAGAGGATGACGTTTACAGTTTTGGATTCATACTACTGGAGACGTTTGTTGGCCCTTCCGCATCAGCAAGAAAGGAGGCATTGTTGCTACATGAAATGGTATTCTCTTATACTCAACTTGGGGTGGATCATAGATACAGTATGCATATTACAAACTTCCATACAACGTAAGCTATGACAAAGCAGCTGATACCAGTGCCTTTTCATTTGATAAGCTTTGTTTTCGCAATTAGTATTTCTTCTCTTTTGGCAAAAATGCTGCTGCAATCACCATAGTTTAAGTAGCATGAGGTTTATATATTAGTGGCAACCGAGGATATTCAGGGAGAATGTAGCAGCTTGTAATCTAATTCCTTCCAAGTTCTTGTAAAATAGAATTTAATAACCAATCTAATATCCTCCTAATTTGTCTATCCAACTCTCTGGTTTATTTGGGTTTTGCATTTGCAGACTTCCTTTGAGAGCCGGGATGGCCGGAGGGGAATAGTGGACCCAACTGTCCTTGCTTCTAGCTCAGAAGAATCTTTGTCGATTGTTATATCCTTAATGCATAAATGCATTTCTCCTGATTCATCAACCCGGCCATCTTTTGAGGATGTTCTTTGGAACTTACAGTATGCAGCTCAAGTTCAGGCAACCGCAGATGGTGACCAAAGTCCAAAGATTTAAGGCCTACTATCTTTGTGAATAGTTTGAGTGGATCAGCCCTAGAACATTGCCAATCTTGCTCTCAACAGCTCAAAAACACTTTGCCCCAACTATTTAGGTAGTTTGTATGAATCTTTGTCAATTAATTTGTGATATTTTGAAATATATTTACTCATATGCATTGTAAACTCATAAATGTGGCTCAGCTTAAACTACCTAAGTTGTTTACATTTCATCATGGTAATCTTATTCCCAAACAACAATATTCAAAATTGATTCTCTAAAAACTATCAACAAAAGCAAAAAATTATTGAATGTTCATGGGTCAAAAGTCAAAACTCGGCCCGTCCTCTCCCTTCTTCTTTTTCTTCCATCTGCTTGAGAATACAAGCGATGCCCTGTGTCTGTGCTCATTGCAATTTTTTCTCCAATACCTTTTGTTCATTCACTAATTCGTCTAGAATTGTACCATATTTTTCAAGACAATTGGGATGGCAGAAAAGTAGAATCGTCGAAATGTTTGCATATTTTGTAACGATCATAATCTCTATGCATCCCTCAATGTCAAGTCTTTGTGCATAGAACCGATTTTGTAAGATAAAATTGATCACTATATCACAAACAAAGATTATAGTTAGTATATGTGTTAATTCATATTTTATGCATTTTCTTTAAATTTATCATTAGTTCTGTGTGAATCGTTATAAGGTGGTATCATAATAAAGATGTTTAATATTATCCCTCATAAATATCCTAGTTATTGTGTGGATGATTTGTTTTTGACCAGATCAATGAGGAGATTAGTCAAAGTGCTGACCTAAACACCTCTATTCGTTGAACAAAAAAAAATGTTGATTTTTAAGGTACGATGACTTCATCGATAAAAATTGGTTGAAAAAAACTTAGAGCTATTTGCATTCTCCTTGAATATCAGGGTATGTTTGATGATTTTTTTTCATAGATCGGATTATTTTTAATAAATTGTTGAAGAATAAATATTTAAGTTACACTATTTTCAATAGTTTAAGTTTTTAAAGTAAATAATTGTTTTAACATGATATCAAAGTAGAAAATCCTCACGTGTTAGGCCTAATTGGTCAACAACTTAACTTTTAGAGTAAATTATTATTTTAACATAAACACCCCTACAAACTCAACCCAATAATTTTTATATGAGATTCAAACATAAATTCAATTCAATCTTATGTTTGGTAAACAACATTAATAAATACAAGACCCGCAATTTTTTCACAATTATCACCAAACATTTGTCATATAAATGACTAAATTATTCATTGACCAATCCAATCTATAGACATATTTGTCTAATTAAACAATTTGTTGATTAGGGATATAAACATTTCTTTTTACAATTATGCAATGGGCTGCCAAATTTCAAACCCATCCCTTGAGTTTGTTTAAAATTCCATATACTTGTGTTTTATAAAATACTGTTCATTCCCGAGCCTAAAATTTATAATCAAACATAACATATCTATTGAAATATTTTAATTAAACCGATATATGCATACCCACTTAAACCCATCAAACAAACAAACGCTCGAGAGTTAAGACATTGGTTTAAGTCTCATCTACAAGAAAAACTAAGACTTTTTCACAGCAATTTATATCTCAAGTGAATATCATATATGTCATGACTACACAATCTCAAAAAATACACGCACACGCCTCAATTAGTTAAGGACTAGTAATTGCCCGTGCCTGAAGGCACGTTGTAATGAAATCAAGGTAATCTCATGTAACCTAAAACTCAAAAAATCTTATATTACTTAAAGACTATTTGCAACCTAAAACAACCTGTCAATTTGAAATCAAAATAATCCATACTAATATCCATAGATTTTGACATAATTTTTTCTAAAAATAGGAACTCATAAAAATTTAAACAAGTTTACAAAACTTACAATCATACATAACAATCATCATAATTCCCCATACGACCACAATAATCAATACATACCCAATCATCAACACATCCAACCATCAAAACATCAAGCTAATCCATACTAATTTCAAGAAATTTGGACAGAGTTTCCTTTAAAAATAGAAGCTCAAAAAAATCTAAACCTGCCTAAAAAACTTACAATTATACATATGACCACAATCATCATAACCATATTTATCCAAACCACCAAAACAAAATCATCATAACCATGTATAATTAGTTAACTGTACAAAAAACGGAATACAAAAAATACACTCATGCACAAATATAGAAACACGTTCAATTTCATCTTCATATCCTTCCATGTATACCTGAAAATATTTGAGATATGTGAGGCAAAATAAAACATTTGCAAATCTGAAACATAAGACCCCTTACTTTTATTGTTAGTTGGATTCAACATAATATTGATAATTATATCACTGTCTCAAATTTTGTCGCAAGTGCCACAAACACATTTTTGAGAAATAAGCAAGTATGTTTCCTAGAATATGAGATGAAAAATGCGAATGATGTTGGTTAGTGGAAAACCATCTCACTTAGCAAGACTTTGGTTAACACGAAGATGAAACATCAAGTAAAATAAAAAATAAATATTAGGTTGGCGAGATTTTGAAGAACACATATCTACTTTAAATCAATAAAGTCATCTCATAATATCCTTCTAAGCATAAAACCAAATTTAGCATCATTTTATTATAGATGCCTCTATATATGTAAATCAACCTAAGCAAAAAGTGGCAAACTTTATAACCTTCCACAAACCTGTAGATGCGCTTCCATAAACCAATCCACCTAAGGAAAGAAAAATAGAAAATAAGATTTTCAATAATCAAAGCTCAAATAAGATCTTAAGCTCAATATTCATACTCATTCAAAAGTAAGGCCCATCATTTTACCGTCCTTTGACCGCTCTTAATCTGTACCAAGTTGACATGTTTAATCGAACTCCTATTGAATTGGGCGTGATGTAGGAGAGAAATAGCACATAGTATTTCTATGTAGCATTTCAACAAACAGTTCATTTGTCTAATGATTTCAATTATAAATCTGTATTGGTGGTAGTATAGTGGTGTGTGAGTTCGATGTGCGAGTGTTTGAGTGGTTGCAGTTGCATGTGTATTTGTGCATGTATTACGTGTGTTGTGTTTTTGCATGAGAAGCAGAGAAATATAGAGATGGCCTAACATCTGGACAATAGTTTCATCAATGGTGTTGATGGAGATGGCCTAACAGAGTGAGAAAAGGATAAATATAGAGAGAGAAGAGTGAAAGAGGGAGGAATATAAAAAAAAAAATTGGAGATGATGGATTACTCATTCCTCAACACGTCATTAATGCAAAGAAAAATGTTATTCGTAGACAAATAACTACCAAAAATTTGGAACAAATATCATAAATAAATAATCCTTCAAATAAACCATGTACTGAAAAAAAAAATATTATCATTGAACACAGATGCTCATGAATTCAAAAAACAAACATATAATCATTGAAAAATTTTCATCATACATGTGTGGAAAAAACTATTAAAACTATAATAAAAGTCATGAACCTAGAGCTGACGCAAGTTGCAATACATTAAAAAATGTAGTAATATTTACACCAAGTCCAACAACACCTCCGGATATACGATATTTGTTGTGGTTGTTGATCCATTAGGAGGGAGAAAGACACTAATGCGATTAGCCGACGTGCATCTAGACATGGCCACATATAGGTGACCATGGATGAATACAGGCAAGCGCAAATCTACACCAACAAACTTGACTGACTGGCCCTGCGACTTGTTGATTGTCATAGCATATGTTAAGCGTACTGGGAATTGGCGTCTAGTCATTTGAAATGGTAATTCTTTAGACGACGGTGATAATGATATCAACGGGATGAAACACAAATTCCCAGATTTGTCACCAGTTAGAATTCTAGCCTCAATAACCCGCGATGCGCACTTGACAACCATTAGTCTGGTCCCGTTACAGAGGCCATCTTTTGGGGCTATATTCCTCAACAAAATGATGGGGTACCCGACCTTTAGCTCCAACTTGAAAGGCGGTAAACCTGACGGGTTTAGAGAATTCAGAAACTCACTTGGATATTGATTAGTGGTAGAACGACAAAGTTCGTCACCATCCGACACCTTGTCAGCTGCCAAGTAGGTATACGTCTCGCCAGGGTAAATTTGTAGAGCAACATCATTAATAGAGCAGACATCATCATTCCGAGCGGAAAGAATTGTGCGCTCAGTTAAGTAGGATGGGGTTACTGCACCGAGCACATCTAGTTGTGGATAAACTCTAGAAATTAGTTCATGCATAGTTCGACACCTGTGTATCGTTGGTGGAAGTTCAACAGTATCCTGCGTACTAAACCCAATCTAAGTATGATGTGAAACATATCAGTACATGTAAATGAATAATTAGACGGTTTTATATAAAAAAATCTATAATATAAATCACCTCTTCCAAAAAGGATGCGTGAGAAGAATTTGCAGGATAATTACTATTCAAACGCATGTTTATGCTCAAAGTCAATACGCACACACTTGCCCACATTGCAAAACATCTTAAGGATGCACTAACAATTTGTTCTCGCCCACCCTTAGGTATAACTGGTAGTATTTGACGGAAATCCCCACCAAGCACGATCATGATACCGCCGAATGGTCGGTTATCATCACGAACATCACGGAGTGTGCGATCAACTGCTTCAACACCATGTCGATGCTGCATGGGAACCTCATCCCATATTATTAAGCGAGCCTCCCTAAATAATTCCCCATGCGCTGACTGTTTGCTGAAACCACATACCGAGCTTTCTATGATATCGAAAGGAATGCAGAATGTAGAATGAGCTGTCCGACCGCCTAACAACAATAACGAAGCAATTCCTGATGAAGCAACTGTAATGACGATATGACCTTCGCTGCGCATTTTAGTGGTGATGGTGTTGTACAAAAAGGTTTTTCCTGTTCCTGCACCTCCACTGAGGAAAAAAATTTTGCCATGATTTTCAGCAACGGAGATAGTGATAGCATCGTAAGCCGTACGTTGAGCATTATTTAAAACATCAATATTCAAAAGGTCATTCAGTTGATTTGCTTCATTTCGTAGTTGCATATGATCGATCAACAATCTATTACCTGTAACATTACTCCAATTTTCAACGGAATGTGGCATAGGTGGGAAGTCATCCAATTTTTTGCCAGATTCATGTAGCAACTGATCAATCAAATATAAACCATAATCTTCGATCTGAGGCTGCGTTGGATCGCATATGCCAAAAGTTGTTTGTAGCTTGTGACGAAGATCATCACATATATGGACGGAGAATTGATCCCACAGAGTGCATGGCTGTATTGGCGAGCATTCTACCAG